AGTTAAGCCCAAATTGTAATTGGGTCAATTCTATTTTCCCCACGTTTATTTAAATATTTGCCAAAAATGTATGTTTTTGTCTGAAGACAACCACCGCAACGCGTACACAATTATTTTGCCAACAATTTGGCGAGATGGGAATTTGCCAAAAGCCACACACAAATTCTACGTTTTGCATTAGTTTTGCATATTGAAGTTTTGCGGAAAGGACTTTCGCCATACACACACACATGCCTTGATATGGCATAAGAGATCTATCGAAAGTTTGTGAGTGTTGATGGAAAGGGATGATGGGAAGTTAGAAAGCAAAACAAACCAGGCTCAGTCTTTTACCAATCTTGGCATCTATATATACTTCCGATAGTGATGCTTATGGCCAAAGAGATATTTAAATAATATATTTAATAATTGCTTTTAGCATATTATTATTTAAACTATAAACTTTTATATACAAAGTAGAGTTCTGCCTAGAAGTTACTTATGCTGGCATCTCTGACTTCCAAAATATCTCTGTCTTGGCCTCGGCGAAACTCCGTATGGCGTTGACACTGACGTAGAGACACAGACCAAAGTTGGTACAGAGTTCCGTCAAGAGCCTCGGTTTCCTTGCTGCTGTTTGCTGATTAGTTTCGGGCTTATGGCTATTTGAGTTTGGCATTTATTGATAGTTGCCGACTGCTGGCAGCCCCATAATGAAATAATTGATTGGCATCGGGCATTGGTTGATCAATAAATTAGGTGCTAAGTGATGACTAGACAATTCTTGTTTCGAAAAAGCCGGATAGAATTTTCCACAGTGAGCCGTTGTTCACTGACCAGCAATGGAATTAGATTACTATAACAATTTTTTAGTTGCCAACAAACAAATCTCACACATGACTACTTTCCTGGAGGAATCCTTTTTTAAATTTCATAAAATCGTTTGGGGGAAACAAACTGTAGTTGTTGCGGTTCAAAATTCACCATACAAAAGGCCCAAAAAATTTGAAATGAATGCTTAAAAATGTATAACTCAATGAACATGAAACACAAAACTTACAAAAAAATACAAGAGCAACAAAAACGACGAAATGTTTTCACGCAGTCAAAAATCGTTTGTTAGTTTTTCTCGGTTTTTTTTTACATTTTATTTGAATCTCTTCGGCTGTTAAGTCGCTGGCACAAAACAACAAACGGAAACAAAAATGTGTTCAAGTGAAATAAATTACTTTATGTGCTGCCAACACAAAAAATCGCTGCAAAAAAAAAAAATTCAAAAGCAGCGGCAAAAGCAGAAGCAGAAAATAAAATGGGAATCCCCACAAAGCGAAATCACAAACAAAATGAAATAAGAAACAATGAGAGGGAAAATAAGACAAGCACACGGAATGGCAAATGAAAAGCGCGTAAAATAAATAAATAAAAATTCAAACTGATTATGCATGGCGGAAAAATCCGATTTTTTTCTTTTTTTTTGTTGAAGGTTGCAGCAGTCGTCGGCCTTCCCCTTTTCCGCCGCCCCCCACCCAATTTCCCGGCCACGCCCACAACTAAACTGTGAAAACGGCAGACAGCAATCCACACAAATCACAACAGAAAGCAGAGAGCAACAAAAAGAAAGGCAAAAAAATTTGCATTTTAATGCGCTTCACTTGTTTTGGCAACGCCAACAAGCAACGAAAAGCGGGCTTTTCTTTTAGGGAACGGGATGACGAAGGGGTTTCCCCCGATACAGAGAGGCAATGCAGAGATTTTTCTTCATTCTATGCATAAGATATTCCTTCGGTTGTTTTAGCCATTCAAAAGTTGAAGAAAAGCTGATGAAAGACAAAAGAAAAGTTCACAAAATTGTGCAAAGAACAATAATTAATAAATGTATATAAGTGAATAATGATTACAATCCGGATTTCTTATAATTAAGTTAGGATTATAACTATATATCATTTGCTTACTTTTAAATTACTTATACAAAAAGTACGAATTAACTAATAACTCTTCTTGAATTACATTATAAGAATGCACTAAAATTATATTCTATTTTAATTACAAGACATTCATTTTCATCTCCCATTCAATCAGCTTTGAATTACTTTACTAAATAATAATATTAAAATCCTTAAAAAATTTAAATTTCTGTCAATTTGGTTAATATTATGTTCAAAGTTGGTACTCGCAAATAAAAACTTTTGCAATAGTAACAAAAATAAAAAAGAGGAGAATTGTAAAAGTTTGTATACACTTCTCGTCCCTTTACTACATCCTTCTGTTGGTTGTTAGTGTCATTTGCTTATTTTTCCTAGGTTATTTTCGCACTTCTGGCTGATGCTTTCATTTCGACCACAAGAAGAGTCTATCCTGATAAAAATACAAAACACAATAATCAAAAATCATGGCCACAGACATTTGAAATGACACCTGTCTGTCAGTTGGAATAGTGCTACTGCTACTCCAGGTCCCTTTGCTCGCTTGATTTGGCCTAAAAACTTTTGAAATTTGCATATTTCAGTAGCCGGAAAAGTTCCTTTCATATTTTTAAAACCCTTTCCTTCAAACCGGCATTTGATATCTGACAGTTGCCACTGTCGTTTTGCATTTCCAATTGTTTGAGAATGTACAACGTAGAAGAGACTGACTGACTGACTTTTTCCGTTGCCATATTGTTGTGGTATGTCTGGTTGCAAAAGGTGTTGTTGCATCCACCTCAGTCATGCATCTAAATGTATTTTACAATACTTTTTGCCACTCCTTCACTTCATGCTAACAGCCACTGAGTGACGGAGTGTCTATAGAATTATTTTGCAGTATTTCTATGAATTTATTGATTGAGGTTGGCAAAGTGAAAATACGGAAAAGAGCACAACATGGACTGTATGGTAACTGAAAACAAGATGAAATCATAAATATTGAATGCAGATTACACTGGCAAAATAAGTTAATAATCATTGATTGGAATCAAATTTGATATATCAGGATTTAGCCTTTGCTTTTTTTTTTCTAGGCCTTTAACTGCATCCAATGAGTATCGAAGAGAAAGGCCCTCAGCTGCATCCAGTGCGAAACGCGGAGTAAAGACCTTAAGTGCAAGTAATGTTAAGCTGCATGCCACGAGAATAGAGGAGGAAGGCGTTTAGCTCCAAACAATGAGAATCGCGGAGGAAGGCCCTGCAGCTGCATGTCATGACGATCGAGGAGGACGGCGCTTAGGTGCAAGTAATGAGAATCGAGGAGGAAGGCGCTTAGCTGCATACTAGGAAAATCGACGAAACAGGCGCTTAGGTGCGAGCAATGAGAATCGAGGAGGAAGGCGCTTAGCTGCATGCTGATTCATAATAATGATTCATTTAAAGAAAGCAAACAAGTTGAGAGGGAAACAACCTTTAATAATAAAAATAATACACATAGCAATACAATTTATACATAGGTAAACATTTCTTCCTTATCAAGGGACACTATTAAGGAATATAAACTTTTCTCACCCTGTTCTTGAACTAGAGAAACCACAATTGTTTACCGTGTTGCCACATGCCAATGGAATAAAGCTCATTGAATCATTTGCTGTGCAAAATTCAGCAGCAACTACAGAAAAGACAATAATAATCAGCATATGCTGCTCCGAACAGCAATTGACGTTTGACAGAAGGATAAAAGGACACCGTACCGGAGAGAGAGGGTGGGATTGGTCTAAAAACAAAGCCCTGCCAATGCATTGCTGGAAAAGTTTAACATTTATCTTTTACTTCCGAGTTTTCCTCGCCTCACTTCTTATCGGTGGCTGTCATAAAAGTGTGGAGCATTTTCAGCTACGTCATCATCAGCAGCAACAATGATGCGGAAAAAGGGGGAAGTTGGGATGGAAAATTCTCTTTTTTAAGCCTCGCCATGCTCACCCTCATACCTTGTCAAGTTTTTTTGAGGAAGGAGACGAATGTTTAGAGTCTATAATCTTCAAATAATGGAAAAACTTTTGCTGTTAAGCACGAGGAATGCCAAAGCTTAGATTTGTCTTTTATATTTTTTGTTTTTCATTTTTCTTTGTTTCTTTTTTTCCCCAAACCAGCAACCACATCGCCAAGAGTTTGGATATTTTTCTTTCTTTCCATGCAGTTGACAATCCTGGCAAGTGTGTTTGTTGGCGCTACTCACTCGATTTTCAATTTATTTCGTTTGGGGAGTGTGTTTGTGGGAGGTGGTAGTTTTCATTTTTTTCCCTGGATTTTCTTTCGTACATTTTTTCTATTTTTGTGCTGCTGCTGCTGCTTCTTTGAACGAAAACTTCATCAACTGTTTTGCTTCTACCTGTGGCTTAAAGTCTTCCAGCCAACACCACAATCGGTAAACTCAACCACCCGCCAACTCCCTTGAGCAATCAGCCAGCATTTTTTCTCTACAAGAATTTTTTCCTCTTTCAATTTTATTTTGCACTTTTTTGTACCTTTTTTTATTTGTATTTTTGCTGCAAATTAAGTTTATGTCAAAGGGGGAGAGTGTGGTACGGGGGAGAGTAACAGGAGCAGAAGCATTTATGCCTTTGTGGCAAGTTAATTTCAATTTTATTGCCAATTGATTGGGATTTGAATGGGAATGGAAACCTCGACGGCATTGGCTATGTGTCGCCAATAAGCTATTGGCAAATGGCATTGGCCCTAAGCCATGGCTTATTAATTTCTCGCATTTCAATTGAAAACTCGACCATACAAATGTCAACAGCAAAATACAATTTACAAATGTTCCCGCTCTTTGTATTTCCACTCTCCTGATTGCGAATAAAAGTCGAGCTGTCTATAGCGTTGCAATGGAAACGCGAAAAACGATAAACTGAAAGGCAACCTTAAATCTGATTTAGATTAAAAACTTTAAATACTTTCCTAAGGAAGGATTAACTTAAAATAAATACAGATTTGTTATTATATTGGAAGCTATGGGACTACTTTACGAGTTTGTTTTTTTATATTTTTGATACTTTTGTTTCAACCAAAAGCATCTCAAAACCACAAGTATTAGTTCAAAAATAAGTTCCCATATTCTTCATTGTATTATTCTCTTCAACTTCAAATTGAAATCAACTTCGAATATCTCTTCAACTTAAAATTCTTTGAATGCGTTGTTGTAGAGTTTTGCATCCGGAAAGTATTTTCCTTAATCATCATTATCAGAGTCATCATCATTATAGATACTTTCGCTCATTGCCCAAACTTGCAGAACGTTATCCTCAGCCACCGAGGAGATAACCCATGGTTCGTTGGCATTCCACGAAAAGTCACTGATTTTTGACGTATGGCCACCATGAATGAAAAGCAATTCGGGAGGTCCATCTTCAGCATCCCTTGCATTCTGTTTCTCTCCGATTTTTGCCAGATCCCAGACATGAAGGCGTCTGTCAATGCCAGAGGAGGCGAAGAGAGCCTCATTGTGGGGAGACCACTGCACCTGGCAGATCTCATCCTTATGCGACTCAAAGGAATGCAGTTTTTTGGTTAGATTACGCAAATCCCAAAGTGCAACAGTTTTATCGGCAGAACCGGTCAACATTACGAACTGGGAATAGGGATTGAAGCTCAAACAGTTTACCTCGGCCGTGTGGGCTTCCACGGTGAAACATGGCTTATAGGTGTCTTTGTTGCGAGTATCCCAGATCATCAGTTTCTTATCGCTACCCACTGAGCCAAAGAGTGAGACGTGAAACGCATGCCAGGCCACATCCTCGACAGCAGCAGTGTGCCCGGTGAAGATGCTCAGAGCATCAATGACCCGATGCTCCTTGGTTTTGGCATTGATGTCCCAGAAACAAATGCTTTGATCATTCGAAGCGGAAAGCAAATGGCCTGCAAAGAAAGGAGCAAATGTGTAATAGATCTCAAACGCAAAGAAAATAAGCTTACCACTGCGATTGGAACTCCAGGAGAGACCAAAACCCTCCTTCTGATGGCCGCGCAATCTCAAATCCGGCATGCTTTTTTCATTTAACTCCGGCTTGCTGGGATGCTTCGAATAATCAAACACCAAAACATCGCTAATCGGCGACTTGGTGGCAATCAGGCAATTATTCTGGGGCATGTAACGTGCACGATTCACCTCTCCCTCCAGGTGGATCTCAATTTCAGTTTCAAACTTGCAAGCCATACATCCAAATCCACCATATTCACCCATCTGGTCGTCATATTGCAAATCCCCGAATTGGGCGTCCTCATTGGGTAGCTGCATGTTGGCAATAAACAGATAATTGTGTGATTCCAATGCATGTGTGCCCAGGAGAAGGCGATGCACTGAGTACTCCGAGTCATCCTGCTTGGTCACATCCGGAAACCACTGAGCGGTCAGTGAGGGCCACTCCAGGGCGTGCGTCATGATCAGGTCGTAGAGGAAGGGTGTGTTCTTCTTCCATATCTTGTATTCCTCGTTGATCAAACGCTCCTCGAGGATCTCTTGAATTTCTTTCGAATCTTTTGTACGAAGTCAGTAGATTAGACCTTCAAGTCTTTAAAACAAAATGCTTTACTTGCCCTTATTCTCGAGATCCTCCATAATGTCACAGCTGCGGAGCTTGGCCGCCAAAAAGAATTAAGCTTTAATACAAATTTTCAGGTTTTGAAGCGGAATTACATCAAAGAGGAGCTCAACGTAATTCATAAAGATTAATCTCACTTTTAGAAGTTGTTCCGCAACTTAAAAGGGCGAAAATTCTATTATAATCCGGGTTTTGTTCGTTTCTTCCAAGAACAAGCTTTCTGCGATTGCGCGTGGGCAGACCATAATTTCGATAGCGATATCGATAGCAAATACATTGTGTGGTCATTTATGTCCCATTTCCACTATTTAGTATTTTGATTATTTACACTAATGAGTATTTCGTTATAATACTCAATTTCAACTTTCATAATCAAGAAAAACCTAATTTCAGCAATTATAAATATTTATACTGAAAACTACCAACACAAAAAAGTTAACGATACTGTTTTATTTCAGTTTCGTCCTTGTAAAATAAGCTTCTTACTGAATAACCATAAAATGGTGAAAATAAAAAGCAGGCACTCAAGGTTGAGCAGGCCAATAAAAATGCCCTGAAGCTTATTTTCTCCCTTATACCAAAAAAAATTAACCTTCAACTGTAAAAAAAGAAAAAAAACCAAGAAAAATATTACAGAATTCGTAATAAAAAAAAGTTAAGAAATGCATCCAGAGAGAGTTAAAGGTCAACCAGGAGAACCATTTAACGCTTGAGCTTTCACTTAAAGGTAAACACACAAAATAATAGGCAAATTGTAAGGAAATCAAATTTTCAAAAGGATTATTGGCCTTGTTAAGTGTTGTTATAATTTAATTTACTCGAAATCCTGTAAACAAAAGCCACAAAAATCCGGTAAAAGCAATTTCCAGCTCAGTCAGAGACTTCACTTGCGCGCCGTCAAACATTTCCAGGCAGCCGCAAAAATGTCAAAGGGCAAATCAACGATTTGGCAAATTTTCACATTTACGCTGGCATTAATATCGCATTTCGCAGTGCCAATAAGCCAGCAAATGAAATGCTGATGGCTGATGGTGTTCGTATGTGTGTGTGTATGTGTCGAGAAAAAATCAAATTAAATTTCCCTGAAAAGTTTCTCAGCTGAGATAAAAAACTGAAAATGCAATTTATATTTCGTGGATAGTGGGAGTCACCAAATCGGCGTTTTGCATCAGCTGCACTTGGCTGCAATTTTATTGGCCTGGCCTTGGCCATCCGTTTTCTGGTTACGTTGACATGTCTTCTCCAGTTCCCCTCCCGTTTCCCTGTTTTTGCGGTAAGTTCTGTTTGAGATTGCACCTGCATGCATATCCGTTTCAGGCCTCTTCCTGGCTCTCCCCCGCTCCCGTTTCCCGTTTCCCGATCCCGAATCCATTTGGACATTTCCCCTTTTTCCCGGACTGATGTTCTACCCCCATCACTGTGGTCATCATCGGCGGCTTCGTTGCATATTCATACGCCACCGATGCCACCACCCTCAGCCTGGCCCCCATTGTTGCCATCGCCATGCAGTTGATGCGGGCGAGCTGATTTTTATGTGGCTGACCAAGCAGCAGGCCGGCCTGGTCCGTTTTGGCCATTTTCTGTTTGGTTTTTATGGTCTCCCCGAGCAATGCGAAAAAACCGAAATCAAGCCGGTCAATTATGGCCAAGAGTGGACGACAAATGGATGCCCTTTTGGATTTTATCATTTAATCTAGACTGTAACGGAAATACCAATCCTTAAATAAGTGAAATTAACTGAAGGTTTTACAATAATAATGCTAAACAGTGATTCATGAATTTATTCACTTGTAAAGAAATTTAAATAATTTTCTTGAAGAAAACATCTTCATAATTTAAAAAAAGCTACATACATATGTGATTGTCAATCCTTAGTATTTCGATCATCTTTAACTACATTTTACGAGCCTTTGCCAAGTTAATTGCATTTTGAATACGATTTTCTATAGGCTTCTAACCACAAATTTAAATTTGAATTTAAAATGATCTAACTAAAATATGAATAATTATCTACTAAAAATATATATGTAGTTTCAAACCTAAAGAACATGAATATTCAGATAACATTTCCAAGGCAAGGGATGCTTCTATTTATCAAGAATGTATTGTTTAAATAAAAGGAAAACTAAACGTTTTATTAAATCTAGGCTGATACCGATCCTACCTGATCCAAATGAAGAGCATCAAAATAACTCTCGCTCCGTTAGCGAGATATCAGTAGAAGGTCCTGGCCCTGTGTATGTCACATTTAAAATATGCGCATTTTTGCAAATGACATTTCAGTCGCACCGCACTATCACTAATTGATATCATATGATGGAATTTATGCACAGACACCGACCGTGCTGGAATGGCACCTACTCCTCCTGCTGGTGCTTCTCCTGTTCCTCCTGCTGGAGGAGTTTCTCCTCCCGGATTGGTAATCGGTGCTTTCCCTGATTGTTGCAATGGCGGTTTTGCTGGTGGCAGAGAAATTGTCGGGTTCATTTTTGCCCTTTGTTGGTGCTGTTGTCGGTCGATTGCCGTTTCGCTTTTTGCGGTTTGTCGACGCGTCAGCTACGTCCTGTGGCTCCTGTCCCTGGTCCGTTCTGTTCTCGGGTATCATCCCCAGTCCGCTGTCCCAATGTCTGCTGCCTGAGGTTGGCCGCTCTGCGGTGCCGAGACTGCGGCCCGATCATTCATTTGTCAAGTTGTCAGGATACGGTTCGGCAGCCAAAAATGCTGCCGTTGACATCAAGTGCACCATTTAGATTTCACAGCTACACCAGTTTATAGCTTTAAGTTTGTTGTTTTTCCTTAGCCAGCACTGAGAAAAATATTATCAACAAGACAATAGGGAACTGAAAGGTAATGGCTATTGGGTATCTAGAGGAATTTAAGCTAAGATCTATCAGAAATCATTGGTTCAAAGTTCATGTTAGATAGATAGGAAATCCCTATAAGATTAGGGGCATTTATATCTCTTTCAACATGTCAAATACTTCCCAAAAACTGTCACATACTTTCTCAAACTCAAGCAATCTAAATTATAAATATTTGAAAGTATCTTAAAAATTCAAAATAAAAATAATGGACTACACCATAGAGGAGACTGCAATTTCACTTATTATACGCCTGGACGAGTGGAGCAAGGCGAAGGAAGTTAAGCCAGGTGAAACGGGAAGGATTATAGCCGCTGTTTTAGCCATAATAGTCATATGCTATATCATACTCTTTGTGGCACGCATTGTGGCTTCTCTTACCCTTCCTGTCTTGGTCATTATGGGTCTCCTTGTGATCTACCGTTGTGTCAGCATCTCCGAAGTGGTAGAAGGTATCAAGGAGCTGCCTTATATGCTGGTTTCTTTTCTTAATTCCATAGTAGACTTCATACGAAAGGCAAATTTCATAAGGCGAGCCTTTGTATGGTTGTGTGCTTTTTCTAAGATATTGGACCTATTTATTTAAAAGCAACGATGTTGCAGTAAATAAAGGATATTATTGTATAATTTGCCTAATCAAAAGGGATACACATTGATTTGAAGTATTTCTGGTAATGTCTAGCAAAAAAGAGTAATTAGATATATGTATCTATGTATTTGCAAATGTTCTTTTTCCCCAAAAAAGGACATACTAGCTACAATCCCTTAAATATTCCAACATCATTGCATTCCCTCAACACTCAACCATTATTCATTTATAGCCTTGACGTTGTTCACATATCGATAGCCCAGTTTGCCATCAACAATCCTGTCAGGACATTTAAAGGCCTAAGCAAGCAGACAATGAGTGGGGCAGGAACAGATGTAGACACAGATACGGTACCGAAGTTGCATCACAGACAGAATCCCTGTTTATGTCCTCGCCGGGACACACAAAAATGGCAAAATGCAGCCCGACACTCGACACTCTGCCCGGAATAGTTTGCTTTCCATGCTTCCTTTGGTGTGTGTGTGTGAGTGTAGGATGGACTGTGTGTGGGCCAAGTTTGGTCTCATTGTTACCACCATTGACCGTGACGCTCGTTTCGCCGGCGCGGATGCGAACTTTGTTGCCATTTTTACCGACTGTCCTCCCTCCATTCAACCCTTTTGTGGCTCCATCCCGATCCTAGCTCCATCTATGGAAACGTGCGTGTTGTCTGCTACCTGATGGTTGACTTTCTTCCTCTAATGAAATGCGGTTACAAATGCAATTTTACATTTTTCACAAAAAGCATTTTATCTGTCGACGCCAGGCCCGGGCTTAAAACGCAGACTCCAAAAACTCCGGGACTGCGAACTCCAGAGTTTGAGACACTCTGAAAAAATTCTAGGCAGTCTTGTTTTATATTGTATTTTTGTAGAAAATTGAATGAGAAATATTTGAAAGTCTCTATCACTTTCTTTTCATTTCTCTTATTTAAAGGGAGAAGAAAAGCTTTAACTTCCAAGCTATTCAAGCAATGCTTTAATAAATGCTACATTCCATTCTGTTTAGTTATGGAGTCCCTGGTTTTTATTTCTCTTGATGTACTTTTGCCAAAGGTAGACCAGAGCGTGGCAGTAGTCAGTGCACGTGACATCCATGTGTCTGCTCCCTATCCCTGGACGGAATTTCCTCCATTGTGTTTGTATTTCGGGCTTGTTCCTGTTCGGGCCAGTGTCCCAAGCCCAGCCCATGGCTGCCAGTCGCCAGCTTGTTTGCACCTTGTCGAAATTAGTGTTTGTACCGAAATGAACACGATTTGTTTGACCAGCAGGTGTTGAAAATACACTGCGCTACATGGTTGAGTTGGTTCTTGTGGGGGGGTGAGTGTATTTCAACCACTGCCACCTCCCTTTTTCGGTTACCCCATCTGCCTTGCATTTTCGTGTCATACGCGGCGTATGGGTAATGTTTTTCAAATTGTTGCGGTCATTTTGAGAGACATTTGGTCGAAATTGCTCTGTTTTGCCTTGCATTGTATGCTGGCAGCGGTTTTAGATGATTGTTTGTGCCATTTTATGAACATTATGGTTACTTTGTTATTTGGGTTGTAAAATTTGTAGACAAGTACGACCACCGACCACCTGGTTACCCTCAGGAAATACTTCAACAAAACCATTGCTTTATTTACAGAGGCGAAATTAAAGAAAAGATAAAATTAGTATATATTCTTAATTTTACAACAAAAGATGGCAAAGAATTATTCTTTATTGAACACATTTATTATAATACTTTGATGTTTCCCTTGCAAACTCGTAGCAGCCAACAGTAACAAACAAAGTCACTTCCATTGGGTAAAATATTAATGTACAACATCATTTTCCCATTGCAATTTTTCATTGCCAACGAAGACCGTCAAAAATGGTGAAGTGCGGCCAAAATATGTCAGACTGCAAATCAAAATGGCAGACAGCTCTGACAAATAAACAGTCACTCAGCCAGTCAGACAAAACGAGTGCAGCAGATGGAGATACATATTCCAGACAGATGCCGGTGATTGCAGTAGTTTTGGCTTTTCAATGCCAAATTCCAGAAGGTAAGTAAGTAAGTGCAGCATATAGGCCGACCCTTGGCGGATCAGATCGGATGCTCTGGGGGAGGGGAATCAGGGAGTCCTTCTCGCATCCTGGCAAACTCATTAACAAGTTGGCACATAAAAGCCCACCAACTACTCGACGGCAAACCGAGAGAAGTCAATGCCTCGGCGACAAGCTGCCGCATCAGCAGCCGCAACTAATGGCTGCCAGACTTGTGTCGGTTTAGGAGTTTGGTCCTCCTCCTCCTCACGACTTTCAGTTCCTTTCCAAGTTCTTTTCGGCAAGGCCAAGGCAAATACTTACTTGGCGGCTGTGTGCAAGTTTTATTAAAAGCCAACAGTCGGCGACATCCTGCTAGCGGTTGGCCAAAAGGCGGTGGGGGGGACTTGGCTTGATAAATACAGCCAAAATTATTTTTGCTGCAGGTACAGAGGGGATTCGAAGGCAAGGAAATATAACTATTATTTCATATCTTAAATAATGTACTTTAAAACGTGTTTCCCTTTTACTTTATAAATTAGGTCAAGATCTCCGTCCAACTAAATATGGTAAAAGTCGAGAAGAAGGTACACAATAATAACCACAATTTCTCACTTAGCCAATAACCACTTTACTAGCAATCCAAGAAGTAACTAGCGCGAAAATTATGGCTCACATGTGTTGCCAGTCGCAAACTACTCATTGGAACTGCGGATTTCTGGGGCGACGCAGACAGTCGAAGGATTTCCCGCCGACGAAGGAAGTCTAGTTTTCCTGTGCCAAGATGGAGTTACGACTTATTCCAGAGAGTGAGAGAGGAATCTTCACAGCTCCTAAGTATTCAAGTGGTCCTCACAGCAGGCTGAATGTGTGGCATAGCAACGACAATGGCCGGTGGGGCAGCAGCATTGCCGCAGGATGGCCGAACTGTATGGAAAAACTATGATCTTCCACTCGTTACGCATCTCGAGCGTCTCATAGTGATAGCCACGCTTATAGATCGCCATGGGGTTGTGATCCATATAGTGAGGCATAATCTCCACCAGGCAGGCATCCATGCAGTTCACAAAGAACTGCACACACTTGACGAGCGGCGCCAGGACATAGATGTCCACAACGCTCTCGTCGAAATAGTACACCGCATCGAAAGGCGGTGTCTCCTTAGAAAAGATCTGAGCCACATCCCGAATGGCCCGAAAGGTGTGCAGAGTAGTGGCCCCACTGGCACCGCTGGGAAAGATCAAGTGAGTATCGTTGCCCGTGACCAAAATGGGACTGGCACAGGCCGGAGCATCGGCCACATCGGCCAGAACATATTTATATGGCCGCAAACCGTATTGCAGTTCGGCCAGAGATCGCTCATAGTTGGGATGATTGGCCACATGCGGCTTCACCTGCCGGAAGCGACTCCTTAACCTCTCAATAAAATCATCTTTAATTGAATAATGTACAGCCACCGTGGCCATGGGAAAGGGCTGAAAGGGTTCGTGCATTAGTTCTGCCAAACAATAGGCCGCGGTGTTCAGATCTCCATTCTTGCCAACACACATGAAACGGGCTCCGGGCCATGTCTTGGTCGCCTTCATACTGTGTCTCTAATTGGGAGAGGAGGTAATCAATAGTACATATTGTAGATTCAAGGATATGTGGTTATGTCAGTGCTTACAACTCTGGGGGCACGTGAAGCGCACTTCAGATTGTGCACCAAATCATGCGATACAAAGTTCTTCTTTATCTCGCACATGTTCACTAATAAAGTTTACTAGTAATTCTTACAATAAATTTGATTTTTGATACTCAAATAACCAGATTGAAGGGTAGGGAAAGGGTTATAATTTACATATAGATTTGACACGTTCAAATATTCCATTGATTTGGATTTTTACCAAGGCTATATTATTATAGATACTTATATATGATTCCCCTCTTGGACTTAACCAAAATCACTGAATATAAAAATCCGATTTGGATCCTGCACTTTAATATGTAAAATCTTTGAAGCCTCCCAAATTGAGCAATCAAAAGTTCTGGGAAATTAACTCCCCAGCCTGGGAGTTTCCACACTTTACGCTTCGCACTGAGGCAAGTCCCTTTCCACACACTCACTTATGCCGAAAGGCTAATGGAACCAAGAAAAGGCGAAATTTCCATAGAATAAAGCAGAATTTTCGCAAAACCCAGACACACACCCGCAACACAAACTAACGAAAACAAATCAAGCGCAAAGTAAACCCAACCGAGAAAAAATAACATTTTGCCGCGATAAGAAACTTGTTCAGACTTTCAAGAAGACAAGAGAGCCGAAGGATGGCAAGGAGTCTACAAGGCACGAAGGCAGCAAGGACAATGCTAATGCCATTTGCTCAAGTGCCTTCAACAGAGGCAACGTCGTGTCATATAAAGTCTAAACAAAGGTAATAAATAAGTTTGTCCTCATTTTGTGTACGCTTACAATGTGGCATTTTATTTTCATAAACATTTTGATAAACGTTGCACGGATTTATGCCAGGAAATATATTTCAAATGGAAAAGTAAACATTTAAGATATATTTTAGATAATTTCTAGTACATTGAAGTACCATTTTAGGCATTTTAGATATATATATTAACAATTTGAGTCTTTCCGCACCCAGAAAAAATATAATTTGAAATCAGAACTAGACATACTTTTTAAAGAAAGATCTTTCCCACACTTAATCCAATTTAATTTTGGTTTTATTGTATCATCAATCGACAAAGAGAATTTCATATTCTTTAATACTTAATACTTTTCTTAACTTGTTTCACTTTTGGTCCTAAGTGTGGGCGTGACAATCCTTAGCTCCAAAGCACATAAAGTAAAAAAAAATCATCTCTGGGACATTTGCGACCAGCCATAAAGGAGATTTATAAAATCAAACAAACGCAAACAAAATAACCAAAATCACGAGAAATATACACATGGCAGCGACAATTTATTTTTCCGATTTTTTTCCCCCACGAAAATAAAAGGGAAACAAGTAAAGCTTTAATATTCATTTGAATGCAATGAAAATTAAATTAGTAATTGGTTTTGCGGTTGATTTGTTTACTGACTAGAAAATAAACAGTAACAGGACACAGTTACAGATACAGTGCTCTATAAATAGAAAAAAATACAGTTTTTCACATAATTAATTAATGAAATTAGTACCAAAAATTCCTAAACTATAAAATAAAGTATTCAAATCACTCTCATTTATTTTTTGTCCCAAACTGATGACCCAAATAATGTATGATCCTTCCTTATATTGAACATATAGTGATTTTATAAAATGTTTATACATAATAAAATTTATTTATATATACAGTATATTTATCCAATTTTCGGAATAACCACTGTCATCAAACCAATCGAGGCGTGTCAAACTGAACGGGAGACCGCGCGCTGACAAAAATTAACTAAAAACATCAGTCGCAGCTAGTCAACTGCCATGGTCCATTCAATTATTCATTTTGCTTGCAATTTCGAATTTGAATTTCATTTATGCAACGTTTTAATTAAATTTTTTGCTTCTTTTTCCCCAAAACCTAACCACACTCATGCTCCCAAAAATATACGCACACAGTGTCACACGGAGGCAGCAGCTGCCGCTTAAAGCCACAAAAATTACGCATACGCACTGTATATATTAAATTAAAAAAGTTGACACAGCGAGTGGAGCGGCAAACGAAAAAGTTGTACGACTTTTTTTTGGATTTTGGTTTCAACATTTTGAAATTGAATTTCGGTTTTATAGTCGATTTTGGTGAGTGAGCGCGAGATGAGGTGTAATTGAAAAATGTTTGACAAAATGACAGTGGCAGTGATTTCGAAAGGATATTTCACATTTGCCATCGAAGGTCAAATAGAATCACTATTTGCAAACACTTGAAATGCACTAGGAAAAATTTATAAAATTATAAAATATTTCAGATTTATAAAATCTATTGATTTATTGATGTTTTTATTTCCGGTTTACTTAACAATTTTTGATAAAGATGGCATGGTAACACTTTTTAAATCCTGCAAATTACAATGTGATAAGTATTTTAAAACATTTTAGAACGGAAAATTCTCCTTGTGTAGGACCACTTATCGAAAGCCCCTCGGTTTTTGGCATCGACTAGTGCACAAATAAAATATGAAAATGCTTGTGCCGGGCATTAAGCGCTATGAAAATCCTATGGCCTAGCAGCTTTCCCATCCTCTGCCTCCCTCCAAAAAATGGGCGTGGCTGGCTGGATGCCGGGGGAATCGGGAAAGTGCAAATAACTGTTGCCAAACATTTTCAACGAAAAATGTTCACATTGCTTGCATTCGGCGGGGGATATGCCAGCAAGGAGCCAATGGTGCAATCTGCCCGCTTGTAGCAATGCATGCAAACAAGATTTAACGATAAAATTTTAATTAGTGCATAAATGGGCGCCTGATTGTGTGGGCGTGGCCGCATAGAGCGAAGAGGCACAAGACATGTTGGCCATACATACATATATGTATGTTGGAGGATGCCAGGAACATGGGCCAGAGACCCAGAGCCAGACACATTGCGGCTTTGGCACTTTCCTGCTTTTATTTGCCAACGCACAGGCATCGGATGAGGACATGGAAATGGTGGCAGTAGGAGGAGGAGGAGCATTGGGTATTCCCTGGCTGAAATTAAGAAATTTTGTCCCTCTGCCATGTGCCGTGTTTGCATTGGCATCGATGCGTAACTTGGCGCTGCAAGACTGTCGTTCCGATAAGCATTAATTTGAAAGTTGCAATGAAAACTACGGACTACGTTACTCCCAGGGAGATGGGGAAATATTCAAGGAAACAACTCGACAGTTTATAAGGGAAACTGGATGAAAATTTAATAAATTATACATTGATAAGGCTAAATCCACAATATGCTTCTGCTTATAACTCCGCTATTAAATAAGTATTGTTAACTATTTTCACATAGGTTTATAAGTAGTCAGTATGCTTATTAAAAAGAATCAGAAATCAGATGTGATATAAGGTAGATAATTAAAAAGATGTTGAATGTTATTTTGAATGAATATAAATATAATTACTGTGACTTTAAATTTGCATAAATTAAATAAAACATAGATATATTTGTAAATGATTTGCTATCATATAAGATTCATGTACATATCTCTATCAGTGTGGCTCAAAAGTGTTGACGGTTTGCTAGCTTTGGGCAAGAAGTTAAAAATTGAGCATAGTATATACACTATATGCCATATGAGCCGCAACATACCCCCAGGTACTAACTTTATTCAATATTGTAGCATTTCGCCATGGCTCCTTGCCCTGTCTGCTTTTATTTATTTGAACTTTTACCCTTTTTCTAACGGTTGGTATACCTCTTACTCGTATATCAAAGGGGTATATTGTACATATAATGTAGGTGAAGCAAATCCTACTTTAAAAAGAATATTAAGTATTATTTGGTGATTGCCTCAACAGCAGAATAGATCTAGCTTACAGATTAAAAGTAGAAGGGTCTTTAGTAAAATGTAATATATTGATTCTTTATTTTCGGATCTTTAGTCTTATAAAAATTATTTTATTTATATATATCAAATCTTTATATTAATCAAATCGGTATGTAATAATATAAAAAGTCTTGTATTACTTAAAGACCAGGTATTCTGTAGTCGGAACTTTAAATTTCTTTCGTGTTTGCCTTCATACTTGCCGTTACTCGCCTCGGTTTTTTACAACTCACCTCGATTGCTGCTCGACATGCACTTTGCATACATTTTGCTTTTACGATCTGACGCTGCGCTTAAATATTTAGTAGATAGTAAACTATGCGCTATCCATGTGCCGCTCCCTCTGCGAGTGTGGGAGGCTGTGCAGTGATGTGCGTGCGGCTATTGAAATATTTATAAACAAGAAAGGAAGCTAACTTTGAGAAGTCGAAGTGTATATACCTCATAGAACCATGAATCAGAATGTTCAATTATAATAGTCAGTTAATATTTTTGGGGTCGAAGGGCAATCGTTATCACGATCACTATCACTCTAGATGTAAACACTGGGGAGGCCACGGACAAAATGAGGCCAGCGGGCCAATAATGCCTGTATTTATACTCCCCGAGTAAAGAGAACAGAGAAAATGAGAGCGAGAGAGCGATAGAGAAAGAGATATCTCTAGAGATTGTCAGAGAGAGAAAAAGGTATCTGTTTAGATACACCGAGAGAGAGATAGACATACCAAACATTATAGAGATAATGAGATAGAAAGATAGATATTGGGAGAGAAAGACGCAGCTACAGAGAAACAGAGATATAGAGATCGCTTCAAAACTAAGGAACTAAGTTGCGCAGATTTGGCTGTTTATGGTGATCAAGAATATACACATATATGCTCGGAAATGACCGAAAATGATTGCGTTCCAGACTTCTGAATAAAATTACAATACCCTAAAAGGGTATAAAAATAACCAAAGGCAAGAAAAATATCGAACGACTCAAAGAGATGAGCCAGCAGGATAACCAGTGTTTGAAGTTCAACAGAAATGGGAATCTATGACTTTAAAAAGGTTTTTAAACAACAATAAATATACAAGTATTTTAAGAAGTTTTGATAACTTTTATAACAGAAGCTCTAACAAATTTCTAAATTTTAGAATTGTATAAAATACATCCCAAATATACAAAATAAACTCAAAAATCCACTACAAATCGTTGTACAACTAAACATTTTCAAATCAAATCACAGCAACCACTCTGCGGCATCACTACTAATCATTCGGGGCCACAGCTCTCGAAAATCCTCTCTGGCTCTTCACACACCACCGATATTCAGCCGGCTGGCTAAAACGCAAAATTTATGTTTTAATTAAAATATGTAAATGCG